ATTTAAGTATCCGCAGTCGCTTATGTGCCATATTATATTTTTATTTTTACAAACCACAAACATCTGTATCTTTGATTGTGGCACTTAACTGAGATTGACTGTATTTGGCAAGGAATGTACAAAATATTTTTCGCGGCTTGCAAAAATCTGCAGCGATATGTATGCACGCTCATACAAATGCATACATATTTACACAAGTTCTTTGGTAAAGCTATTAGAACGGCAAGGGAAGCAGTGGCAATTGGAGATCGTTCGTTTGTGTTTTCGGCACAGCTCAGATTTTCTACCAACAACACAACGCTTTTACCACGTCGTTCCGTAGACACATTGACTCTGACAAAACGTGAGCTTCGCCATTGGTTCTCCATGTCAAAGGAAATTTCACATGAAGCAATATGCATATGTACATAATAACATACAAAGTTGTGTGTGGAAACATTATGCGTATGGTTCGTTTTATTTACATGCACATATAGTTCTTCTTCTTCTTCTTGATTGGCGTAGTCACCGCTTACGCGATTATAGCCGAGTTAACAACCACTTGGTCCTTCCAACGGAATGGAGGTCTTCCTCTTCCTCTGTTTCCCCCGGCGGGCACTGCGTCGAATACTTTCAGAGCTGGAGGGTTTTCGTCCATCCAGATAACATGACCTAGCCAGCGCACTGTGGCCAATTTGGCTTCGCTAGCGGCCTTTAATTAAATTTTCAAATTTGAAAAACCGTTCATTTTTTTTAACAATCGATAACAAATACATTCACTAGATTTGTATCGATTTTTAAAAGCTCAGCTTACGGCTGATGTATAGCTGTGAGCATTTCAGAATCTTCTTCCCAAATATGCGGAATCTGCAACGCAACACCGAAAAATATGAATGACTTAAATTTGGTGAAGAGCTTTCCAATTAAAGTGAACTTCTTTCAATACGGGCTATCCAGTCTCCACGCCTGGATAAGGTTTTTTGAATGTATTTTGCCATATCCTATAGAATACCAATAAAAAAGTGGCAAACTCGTGGTGCTGACAAGGATATTGTTGGACAGAATAAAACAAATATACAGCAGAAGCTAAGAGAAGAAATGCATTTGTGGCCGACATACCAATGGCTGTTACTGGAAATACCAACAACGGAAATACGGCAAGAAGGTTCTTTCAACAACCAAATTTAGCCGCTCGTATAACTGGAGTGAACGAACATTTAATATATCGATTCAGCATCGACTTGCGAGTACTTGCGTGTAGATACGATATAAACACGGAGGCATTCAGACTTTACGCAATGGAAACTGCCGAAATTTTTGTTAGTTTATACCCTTGCTTTTACATGCCCTCGTCTGTTCACAGAATTTTAATTCATGGAGCAGACATAATCAATCATTTTTCGCTTGCAATTGATATGATGTCCGAGGAAGCGCTTGAAGCCAGAAATAAAGATTATCGGAACATCCGTGAAAATAATACCAGAAAAATTGTCAGAAAAAATACAATGGAAGATATAATTAATGTTCTTTTTGTTTCTTCCGATCCCTTAATATCTTCATTGTCCAACGGCTCATCAATTTCCTCGAAAACTCGCAACGTCGACTCATCCGTTGTTGACATCGGCCAAGCCTCTGCACCATATAGCAGGATGGGAATTATGAGTGACTTATAGAGTTTGGTTTTTACAGATCAGATAACATTAAAGACACACATGTATTAAATTGTATAGTTAAGAACAACCCCATGTAGTGTGCAATACAAACATATACACATACACATATATTTAGTTATTTATGATAGTTTTCTAAAACAGTATATAAGCAATACAAAATATCAAAATAAAATCAGAATGAATAAATTCTCCCTCGATATAAGACTTTTCATTTCCTCCCACCACTGGTAAGGAATTCTTTTTGTTTGATATATGTTTATAGTACAAATTAAACATACACCCTCTTATTTTCATTGGGATAACTCACATGTTCGCCGATATATGCGGTACAAAGGCACCCCGAAGTTCGAAAATCTTTATACCATGTAGGTACTATATGGAGGCTAAGGAAAGTATTGGTCCGATTCAGCCCATACCACTATAAGAGAAGGATTATCTCTTACCTTCAATGATATATATTACACCGAAATTTTCGATCAAAAGTCAACTATAGGTTCCACGGTCCAAATATTTAGTACCAAGGGGCATGAATAGTTTTTATTGGATTTAAACAATTTTCGATCGCAAAGTGGCACACACTAAAGGCATTATTCATGCAAAGTTTTATCCCGTTATATTAACCGCTTCTTAATTAGTGAACTGGAAACTGAACGAATTAAGTGGAATTTAAAATTGTGCTATATGGGAAGTTGGTGGTTGGTCAAATCTCCAGATATGGAATATTACCAAACAGTGGGCGGTGCCAAGCCCGTCATCCAATTTTCATGCTGGCTCTCATAAGGCTCTCTAATACCATCTCAGTATACAATTTAATGACTCTGACGTAATTAGTTATCGATTTATCGCGCTTTTAGTAGTTTTTAACAGTACCGTTATATGGAGAGTGAGCGGGGTTATCTTCGATTTCCTCCATTTTCACACTATCGGTATATTTCCTGTAATTTCTAGCTTTAGTTAAAAGTTATTTAATGGAATGTCAATAAAAAAATTACGATAATTTAAAGCAATAACTGTGTCTCAAAACGATGGAAAATTACAAATCAAAATAAAATAATAGAATGTCAAAATAAATTGTATTCAGTCAACTTTTACAAAAAAGTAGTAAGCAATGAATTTGGACGATAAATGAAAATAATACACTTTTGCCTGATATGTTAATGACACGCTAATTGTACAAAAATTAAAGAAGCAAATGAACTAAATAGAGGGAGTGTACTTAGTAACTTTTCAAATTAATGTAATAATAGAACAAAACATATGAAAATTTTAACTATTTAAGATAAGGAAATTTAAATTTTTTTTTTAAATTTATGTCGAAATAGAAAACATTAATTAAAAACAAGAAAAAACGTTAACTTCGGCTGCACCGAAGCTAACATACCCTTCACAGGTGCATTACTTTTAGCAACTATGTATTCAGTTTGTATGGCAGCTATGTATGTGCTATAGTAATCTGATCTGAACAATCTTTTCAGAGATTATATAATTACTTTAAGCTTAAATCTATGTCAAATTTCGTGAAGATACCATCAAATGCGAAAGTTTTCCATGCAAGAACTTAATTCCGATCGTTCGATTTATATGGCAGCTATGTATTAGCTACAGTGAGCCGATCTAAACAATTTCTTTCGATATTACATTATTTCTATGAACAATAACTCACACCAAATTTCGTGAATATATATCGTCAAATGAGGAGGTTTCCCATACCAGCACTATGTTCCGATCATTCAGTTTGTATAGCAGCATATATATTGTATAGTAAGCCGATCTGAACAATTTCTTCGTATATTACATTATTATCTTAGAAAATAACCTGTGCCAACTTTAGTGAAGATACATTGTCAAATGTGAAAGTTTTCCATACAATAACTTAATTCCGATCGTTCAGTTTGTATGACAGCTATATGTTATAGTGGTTCGATATCAGCCGTTCTGACAAATGAGCAGCTTCTTTAAGAGAAAAAACCGTTTGCAAAATTTCAAACCGATATCTTAAAATCTGAGGGACTAGTTCGCATAGATATATACACACGGGCAGACGGATATGGCTAAATCGACTCAGCTCAACATACTGGTCATTTATATATATACTTAATAGGGTCTCCGACGCTTCCTTCTGGGTGTTACAAAGTTCGTGGCAAACTTAATATACCCTGTTCATGGTATAATTAAAAATGCTAATATACCAACAGCTATTGCTACACGCATAAGATTTATTAGTTATATGTTGTCCATTAGACTAAAAGAAGAACCATTATTAGAAAATATGAGAGTTTTATTAACATATTTATACATTTGTTGATATATGCTGTGTAAAGTCAACCGGAAGTTCGAAAATCTTTCTGTTAGGTATATGGGGCTAAGCGATACTATTATTAGAAAAGAGTTGTACCACCCGGTACATCCATTTTTACTGTGTCGGTAGTGGTGCTCTAAGAATTTGTGCTCAGAGAATTCGGATATATAGCTTAACTGCATAGGAGCAACACAAGATCACAAAAAATTATTTTTTAAGTGCTCTGAGGATATATTCGGGGCTTATTTATTTAAAGTGGGCAAAATATATATTCATTTATAACCAAACTTAAAAATTTAATTAATTAATTATAATTAAATTAATTCAATTTAAAAATTAAAACAAAACAAATAAGGAGCATCTTACAGCGTGCATAACCGAACATTTCATACTCTTGGCAAGATGTGTTGGGGTTCACACTAATGCCATTAATATGATGCTTTGTGAGAGTGCCCGCAGTGTCAAATTTAATTATTGGTACCAGTCAAGTCAATTTGGGGGTAGACTTGTCTGATACCAGGATGTGGTGGAATGCACCTCATAGGTTCATCGTGGAGAAGATTTGTTTGGCTGAAAGCTTTGTTAAATATTCTTGTAGAAGTTATATTGGATAGCGGTGGGAAACCGTTTGGGAATAGTAATCAGTGTATGGTTTCAGCCACAAAGTTGGCGGACATGGACGCATGGTGGTCCCACGCTCAGAATGTAGTGCCTAACTGCATGTTTGATTGAAGTGTGTTTTGATGGGTTGCCCAATAATTCGACAAAGTCCACGAGAATTTGGTTGACTTTGTTGTTTAATTGTGGTGGATGTGATTAGTTTGTTAAGTTAAGTATATGAACCGGAGTTATGGGAACCGGTGTAGGAGCGTGCGATGCGTCTTCGTTTGAGTTCCACGATGAGCTCGTATTGTTATAGCAGGTCTGCTCCAATTATTGGTTAGGGCACTTTGGCAATGCAAAATATCAAATGTATTGGTTGACTAATCCCGAAGTTGAGTTTTTTTTGTAACTGTAGAGAAATATGATGTTGATATTAATTTTCACAGGAAATCATCTCGTCATGGGATTGTTCTGAATATACATAATCCCTTAACTCTATTCAAAGGAGATTTTAATCCACATCGGGAAACAGCATTTATTGTACACGGTTTCAATGGTACCGCAGTTGATGTGCATTTGCAGTTTCTAAAAGATGGTGAGTTCATATATTGTTATTAAATATAGAAATTCAAGTAAATAATTATTCTTAATACAATATTTTTGCCTGTAATTTCCAGCATATTTATCTCGTGACTTTAATGTTATCACTGTAGATTGGCGGCCATTAACACGCTATCCATGCTACTTACATGCTTTGATTAACACCCGCTTGACAGCCCAATGTACTGCGCAGGTCAGTATTGAAATATTAGTGAGCAGTTTGAAGTCCTCATATGCAACTTCTGTAGCAGATAAGAAAGCAGCTGAGGCAAATAACGATATCTCACATTTGTTAAATGTTTTTCTTGACAGTAAATTTATGAAAAAAGTGTTCCAAAGACGCCTAACCTAATGTCTGAAAGAAAAAATTGTACAACTACTTTATTACTTAGAAGTTAATTAATTAAAAGTTGCCATCATCTAGAAAGATACAAAAGTGAAGTAAAAGCAAGATCCCTAAATATAATTTAATAATTCAACACTTTTTTTCAAATAAGACCACAATGTATGGTATGTACTTTCTATTTTTTGCTAAAATAAAAGGATTTCTATCTGGACGCAAACAGAATCCGGCCTCAACAGCTTATCTTCTAATTGTTCGTGATTTAAATCGTAATTAAAAGTGTTTCGTTGTTTGATTGGAACATATTGTGGGATCAATTTGGATAATCTTTTTGATCAATAAATCGCCTCTTTATAAGTCGTTTTAAAAACACTTATTATTTCATTTGTAAAATCGGATAATTTCTCGCCTGATTAACTGATAATGTTTGTAACACTATTGCGAGATTTCCCCTATGCTGAGGTGATTTCAAAAGCTCAAATGCTATCTATTGTAAAAATAAGTAATTATCTATTGCAATAAATATGTAACTTACGGTCTTTGTACATTTTTTTTTCCAAGTAAGTCGTTACAATCGTTACAATTCTTTAAAAAAATTTAAGACGTTACGGAAGGCATTCTACGGAATAACCTTGAAAGCCGAGGTACACGGTGCTTGGATCCCCTCTTTCGTCTCAAAATACTTGCCTTTCATCGTCCTTTTCAGGCAAGGAAACAAAAACAAGTCCGGGGGCCACACCTGGGCTGTTTGAGTCTCTTAGGACTTCCACGTAAAACTTGGCCTTGACGATTTACCCAGGAGGATGAAATTCGTAATGGCTTGCGAAAGAAAATCAGTCCTATTACTCTCTGGTCATGTATATATAAATATTTATGTTTAAGTAATTCAGACAAGATTTTATTTGGAAATATACTATGTGTATGTATTCATACATGTGCGAACAAAAAGAGATTTGTGCTGAAATAATATGCTGTAATACTGCAGCTGCTTCTTAGTTATTCTTTCACATTTTGAAATTCTAAAAATAAATGAAATTATTGTATATGCACCAAATTTAATAGATTGAAAAATTACTCACTTTACTTGATTGTCCATTTCTTTATTTTGTCTTGCGTGGTTTTGCTGTTTTTCTTGAGAGGTTTGAGCAAGCACAATAAACCTCACTTAGTTAGTTTCGTCCACTCAGATTTATACTTTTGAAAAGTTTTTTGTTTAAAATTTAGTACCTCGAAACTCACTGCTGAAGATACATACCTACATTTTACATACATATGAAAAAAATTTTACTTTGGACTATCTACATGTAATCTTAGGAATGTTTATGATGTATTATTTAATTAAAATTTAGGGTTCTTATTTAACATTGATATGTTAACTGTTCTGTTATATAAGTACCCAATATGAGTGATATGATTTCTTAAATCAAAACACACACTAACTGTTAAGAAATTTCAAATGTTTTTTATTTAATGTGAAGTAAAATCAATAACTTAAGTTCTGAATATACCATCATTCAAATGACCTTCATGACTTCTTTTGCAGGAACGAGTCTCATAGGACCCAATTTTCGAGTACTTTTTTCAATAAATGAAGACATGTGTCATAAATATGCTAAAAACCAATGACTTCAAATAATAGCACAAGAAATAGTCTGATAGTGTTAAATAACAAATTTTTGGAAGTCATTCAGTGTCACAATTTCTTGAAATAATCGAAGGTTTTAAAGAAAAAATAAAAGGATGTATTTATGTAATAAAGTAGCCGCATATAATTTTATTAAAATTAATGACATATTATTGTACAACTTTTGAAGTATATTAGAAAACATTTTCAACGAAAAATATGAATCTCCAGAAGCGCCTTGAAAAAAAGTGGAATCTCGTTACCGGATCATCTGACACAAAAAAATTTATCTGCGTTTTAAATAGTGAAGTATTTCTCGATGTTGTTTTCTATTTTTTGCAGCACTTTAATTTGTTAATAAAAAATAGAAAAAAATGAAAAAAACTCCATCTGATTAGCTGTTGATTTATGTGAAGAAGTAGTGTTAAAATTTTCAAAAGGATGGGTTCAGTAGATTTTGAGTTATAATGTTCACGAACTTCAGAAATAACGTTTTCGGGAAAATTGATTTGAAATATTATATGTTATGAAAGTCAGGTATCATGGCTGGTCGTTTAAAACGCTGTAACTCCGTTAGTTTGACTATAATTGACTCAAAATTTGTACACAATATTCTCGCTATATAGGTCGTTAAAAAAAATATACATATATATTTAGAAAAATGCAAAAAAAAAAAAATTTAAAACCTTAAAACCCCCACCCCCCCTCTTATTGGCACTTGAACATTTCGATGAATAGCGAGCGCAGGTGGACAGTTATTACGACCATAAAATGGCAAAAGCGCAGAGCGACATGCAAAATAAACCGTCCGTTCAACTCGTTTTGTTTGGAAAGATATCTGAAATATTCAGAGAAATTACAACATTTTTCCAAGTTTCAATACCGAAGCATAACACTGTTTTAGCTCAATTCTTACGAAAACAAGTAAGGAAGGGCTAAGTTCGGGTGTCACCGAACATTTTATACTCTCGAAATCAAGATATCTCAATTTTTACTCAAGTTACAGCTTGCACGAACGGATAGACAGACATCCGGATTTCAAATCTACTCGTCACTCTGATCACTTTGGTATATGTAACCATATATCTGAGCATACATACCGTTATTAGCAACTTTATTGTGAGAGTATAAAAATGATGCTATCTGAATTACATGAAAATATCTGAGAGATTTACCGATATTTTCGGTGAAAAATTAAGTTAGGTTAGGTTAGGTTCTGAGTTCTTCGTGTCCGATATCAGGGACCTTGGAAAGTTATAGTCCGATCACGACAATTTTTCCCCAAGTGATACCTCAGCTCGAATACCGTATTTCTGTAAAGTTTTATTCCGCTATCGTCATTGGTTCCTAATGTATATATTATACAGAGAAGGCATCAGATGGAATTCAAAATAGCGTTATATTGGAAGAAGGCGTGGTTGTGAACCGATTTTATCCATATTTCGTACATGTCACCAGGGTGTTAAGAAAATATTATATACCGAATTTCATTAAAATCGGTCAAGTAGTTCCTGAAATATGGTTTTTGGTCCATAAGTGAGCGACGCCACGCCCATTTTCAATTAAAAAAAAAGCCTGCGTGCAGCTTCCTTCTACCATTTCTTCCGTAAAATTTAGTGTTTCTGACGTTTTTTGTTAGTCGGTTAACGCACTTTTAATGATTTTCAATATACCCTTTGTATGGGAGGTGGGCGTGATTATTATTTCTTCCATTTTTGAACTTATGGAGTTTGGTTTACATAGCTATAGTAGTTTCAGAGATATGTACAAAAAACTTAGTAGGGGGCGGGGCCACGCCCACTTTTCCAAAGAAATTACGTCCAAATATGCCCCTCTCTAATGCGATCCTTTGCGCCAAATTTCATTTTAATATCTTTATTTACGGCTTAGTTATGACACTTTATAGGTTTTCGGTTTCCGCCATTTTGTGGTCGTGACAGTGAGCCGATTTTGCCCATCTTCGAACTTAACCTTCTTATGGAGCCAAGCAATACGTGTACCAAGTTTCATCATGATATCTCGATTTTTACTCAAGTTACAGCTTGCACGGACGGACGGACCGACGGACAGACGGACGTACGGACAGACAGACATCCGGATTTCAACTCTACTCGTCACCCTGAGCAGTTTGGTATATACAACCCTTTATCTAACTCTTTTAGCTTTAGGGCTTACAAACTTTGTTGCGAGAGTATAAAAAGTGCAGCTTTGTAAGGCAAAGTGGATACAAAGACATGATGCCGTTCTTCAATTCACAGTCATTCTTGCTGAAATCTTTCAAGTACTGACAAAAATAAGCGAACGGAAGAAAATAATGATTGCAGTAAAAGCGCCGAATGTGGTCACGCTACTGTGCAACTTCGAATTTATTATTGGAATTTTCTCAGTGATGTTTTGTCACTTACGCCGCCAACAAGTGTGATTCTGCAGAATGAATCAATCGACCTTGCGAAAGCATCAAACGTCATAACAACATTGGTTGCAAAACTGAACACACAAAGAAAGCTGATCATGAAATTTTTTATGCTACACACATGGCTGAAAAATTAGATGTTGAAGTGAAAAAAGTCTAGACCATGTGGTTGTCGGAGTTATCGAAACAATCACCCATCCCAAAGCTGTGAAAACTTTTACAGGTTTTCTGCTTACAGGTTTTCTGCATACATTGACACAGTGATGCAAGATTTAAAAATACGGTTTTGCAATGAAGTTCTTGAAATTTTCAATTTGCGTCAGTCTTTACCTATATGTAACTTAAATTTGGAAGAAAAGGATTTAACTGTACTCATTGAATGCCTAGTTAGACATTTTGGGAAAATCTTGCCCAGAAACTGCAAAAACGAAACTTAAAGCATAAGTAGCGCCTTTCCAAAAACCATGGAAAATGAAAAGGACTACGAGAACACAAGTTCTTTTTGCCTTAGAAGCCCTCAGCACGAGAATAAGGATATATGTATATCCGTCGATTCATATTCTACTTCACGTGCTCTTCATTTTTCCAGCCACAAATGCTAGCAGTGAACGATTTTAAAGAATTTTAAAAAATTATAGTTTAAAGTTCAACATTTCTTAAATCAATTACAAAATCATAAAGTTCCTCTCCTCCTAAAATGTTACTCTGTAATTAGCATTAGTGGATTGCATTCTTCGTTTGTAAGATATTTTTATATCGTACATTATCATTGCAGGAATTGAGACTAGAAACTGAAATTTTATTAATGCCAACCACTAAATACTTTGATGATATTTGACACTTTTATGAGATAAAACATATTTTGCTATTTCTATTTTATGGCTGCCAAATCGGTTTATAAACACAAGTATATGTAAAATATCTTGGATATAGAAAAATATAAGAATTTTTTTATTTATATTCTATTACAATTAAAAACATGTAAATTCAGACAGTAAGCAGTAATTGCGTTTTTTATCATTCCCATACGTTGTTTTCAGGTTTATTCTTTCCTCACGCATCATGGGGCAGCTCGTGAGAAAATCACGTGCATTGGTCATTCCCTTGGCGCCCACATTTGTGGTATGATTTCGAACCATTTAACGATAAAACAGCATCGTATTATCGGTAAGTTACTTTTTAATTTTACACATTGATGTCATAAAGATATTTTGCAGGTCTTGATCCCGCGCGACCACTCATTGAACGTAAAAAAAATCACATCTTCAGATTATCCATAGATGATGCAAGTGTTATACAGGTGATTCACACCAATGCAGGTTTCTTGGGGCAGGAAGAGAATATAGGTCATCTGAACTATTGCATTAATGGTGGCAGATTTCAACCATTTTGCAAGGGAAATCCTATAAGTGAGTTAGAATAAGCATATTTACAACAAATCACACTCAATTAGCACATAGTTTCAAATATCTGTAAATTAAATATAGAATATTTGAACTAAAATCATATTTTAGACAAAAATTGTGACGTAAACATTGTCGCTTGATTCGGTCATACCTGTATATAACCTATTGCAAAACTCATAGTCATATAGGAAATTTTCTGCTTACAAAAATGATTTGTGTAATTTTTTGATTAATTTGTTTATCAATCATTTTTCAGAGTATTAAGCGAAAAAAAATTCGCTTTATTATTTACCCTAACATGCATACTTACATATATGAATTAGAACAAGAAAAAATGTGTGACGAGTCTATAATACCCTTCAAATATGCAAAAGAACTTAATTCCGATCGTTCATTTCGATGGCAGCTATGTATATACCATAGTGATGCGCTGTTGTCGTTGGAGATTGCATTATTGCCTCAGCTAATAATCCATGCCAAATTTCGTGAAGCTATTCAGTCGAATGAATAAGACAAATGAGGAGCTTCTTGCGGAGAAAATACCGTGTACAAAATTGCACATCAATATGCAGACAGACGGACGTCCTCGACGTTTCCTTTCAACCATCCTGGTTAACTTAAAAAACAGGGTTCTGGTTTGGTACCACACATTTTTTACATTCATACCACATCATAGTTAGTCGCCTTTTTGAAAATATTAATAACAATAGCTTATGTTAAGTACGCCTAAAAGCTATAAGCTTATACAAATTAGTACGGATAGTGGCGTTGCAACCGTTCACTCTCATTATTATACTTCAAAATAATATTTATATGTATGTAAATTGCCTTCATATTTCAGGTTTAGAGAACAAAAACAAATTTTAATTATCCAACATCGATTAATTGTTTTTCAAAATATTCTCAATTAAGATATATGTATACACTTTCGTAGCTTTTTTGGCACTCGGCCCAGTTTGAAATACCAATACAGTCGACATCTGTTTACATTGGGGCTCACACGGGGCACGGCTCCCATTTTTATGCCATTTACTGCTGAATGAATGCTAGTCCTGCAAATGTTTATAGTTACCTAAATCTTACAATAGATCACCTAAAATTAAAATTATGTGTTAATTTAAATTAAAATAGTGGCCGAAATCGCGCGAATATGTTCGGAATGTAATTCCTTTTTTTGCCGAGTTCAATATTTTAAGTTACTATAAACAACATAAATAGCGTTCGTATGTTAAAACATTCTAATAATGTATAATATCAAAAATGTCGAACTATACGATACAGTTAGAATTTGTCACTATAGCACTAAAAGACAGCTTACGTGCAAAAAGCAGATGTGTACGTATGGTATGTATTAGAAATCTCCCTCAATGTCTGTTATTAAGAGAGATCAATTATATTGGACAGACATATACATAGGTATGTACAACTATCAAGTAATTAGAAGTACACCGCGTCAAACACCTATCCGACTTTGACATTTGAATGGATAGGATCTTAGTTCGATTTTCATATTGTAATATGATTGATTTATTTGTCCTAAAATGAACGAATCAGATGGAATTTAAAATTGTGTTATATGGGTTTACAGATTTGATCTAAAGTTTTAGCAAATTCCAGCATTTAGTTATGATTTGATACGTCACATATTGACGGATATACTTACCTACATCTCCCTTCCGCCTTTTTGTCTTTTGAATTTCGCGGCGATGTACATACAGTAGAATCCGGTTATAACGACGCCGCTTATAGTGTCCGTCCGGTTATTCGGCGCCTGGAAGAGGGTGAGCGCAACGTTACTCTGGCAAAAGAATTCTGCGTGGGCCACACAACAATTGCCACAATAAAAAAAAAAAAAATAAAGAAAAAATTAAAGCGTCATTTAATAGTAATATCTTAAAGCCGAAACGCGTCAGAGCTTCAACTAAAGATCAAGTGGACAAAGCATTGTTACAGTGGTTCATATTGCAACGCAGTCGAGGAATCCCATTAAGTGGTCCACTGCTTCAAGAAAAAGCAAATTTTTTCGCTAAGCAATTTAAAAATGAAAATTTTAATTGTACTGTGAATTGGCTAAGCCGGTTTAAGGCAGGCATAATATTGTCGGCGGTACAGTCAGTGGAGAATCTTTGTCTGTACAAAAATCGATGTTAGCGGGTGGCTTACAAAGGTTTGGCCTATACTACGAAAAGATTTCACTGATGAGGAAATTTTTAATGCCGACAAAACTGGACTATTCTACAAATTAACTCCAGACAAAACATTAAAATTTAAAGGTGAGAAGGAAAATTATTTTGAAGAAATCTGTTTATTGAAATTTTAATGTATAGGTGAAAAATGCACTGGAGGGAAGCTGTCCAAGGAAAGGATAACTGTGCTTGTTGCAGCCAATATGAGTGGTAATATTAAAAAGCATTTATTGGTTATTGGAAAATCAAAGCGACCTAGATGCTTTAAAAATGTTCAGTCTTTGCCTGTTGACTACTTTAGTAATCGCCGGGCATGGATGACATCTAAAATTTTTATTAATTGGGTACGGGATTGGGATGCTGAGCTTAAAAAGAAGAAAAAGAAGATATTGCTATTAGTTGATAACTGTCCAGCCCATCCCCAAATTAGTGACCTAACGAATATCACATTAGTTTTCCTTCCACCAAATACGACATCTGTATTACAACCAATGGATCAAGGCATAATTCGAGTGATTAAATCAACTTTTCGGAAAAATCTTGTACTTAAAATAATCAGCAATATGGATGAAAACAAAGATGAAAATAACCATACTTAATGCCATTTTAATGATAAATGATGCATGGCAACAACTTTCACCATTGACAATTGCGAATTGTTTTAAGCATTCTGGGCTTGCAGAAGAAAATTTAGATGGTTCCAGCAGCTC